ATCTGAATCTCAAATTCAGATAAAGAGTCGGGGGCTACCATATACATACTCACTAGTCCAAAATTTTATCAAGTCATGCCAAGCTAAAGTGCCCGAACCCACAATCTGTGTGAAAGGGAAAAATAGCAGCATCTTCGGTAAGCAAGTGAGAATTTAGGAAAGCCTGACCAGCTTGGGACAGATAGATTAGCTCATTTAATCAAAGATGATGGAGATACAAGCTATGATCAGACTATTGCTATGCAGACAATGTGCAAAACATTAAAATACAAAAATAGACTGGCAAAAGTTTTTTTCCATTAATAAACCTCATTGAAACATGGAATTACAAAAGGAGTATTCCAATACCCTAAACTAATTATTCCCAGACCAAACACTGAGTCAGGCCTAAACAAATCCTGATCCGCAAGGACGAGCTCCGTACAATACCGGGGCAAAAGAGCCCGACCAAGGTGATCGTCATCAAGCTCAGGCGCTTGGTGGAGGACTAGGAGGCACGACGGCCTGCTCCGGCGGCCCGTCGATTGCCGCGGTACCCTCCTCCTCCTTATCGCCTGGGACGGCCGCGTATTCGCCCTCACCGGTGTGGCCCTCCTCGACGTCCTCGTCGTCGCTAACTAGGTCCACAAGAGCTCCGTCACCCAGAGTTCTGAGGGCTTCCCGGTTCAGCTCGACGAAGAGTTTCCAGGCAAGCTCCCTGTCGCCAGGAATCTCTTCCCGGTTTAGCTCCGTAGAGAGCCGGCGAGCAAACTCCTAGTCACCACTCATGTTAGGAAGGGTGGTGACCCAAGAAGTAGAGGGGCCGGCGTCCGAGGGATCGGCATTGCTGACGGCAGCAAAGGAAGCAATCAAACCCTCAGATTCATTATCGGACAGCTCGATAACCCCCTGCGGCGGAACATTTGACTCAAGCCCCTCTAGGGCCAAGGCACCGATCCCCGCAGCGCTCGTTACGACCTCCTTCTCTTTCTTCACGACCACGGCATCCCCCCGAGGGAGCGCCGCAGCCGAGGACAGAGTCGGGGTTGTAGCTACAGACGACGTCGGAGTTGTGGACACCGCCACCGAAGGGGATGACGGGGGTGAAGTCCCGCCAGACTGCCCAAGAGATCCCCCGAGCAGTAAACGAGGAATCTTGTGGTGGCGTGCGATGATTTTCGTCCTCATGATTACTAATGTGGGGATGCTAAATGGATCTAACCCATCACTCAGACGCCTGCTTATAAAGCCAAGGCTGGGGTGACAATCGTCGCCTGACTCGGGCGGAGACCACGTGGACAAGACAAGATGACTCCTGAGTACGGCTTATTTTATTTTTACAGCTCATCGCCTAACTATATGACCCTATAACTTCAACCTGACCAGCCTTGTTCTATGGGAAAGAACTCGGGTGTTAAAGCCCCGATTCCGAATGTCCCAAAAGGCTCGAGTACAGGAAAGTTACCGAGTCTGGCTTGCCCGATAAGGTCGGGGGCTACTGACGGTGCCATACTCCCAGGATTCCCGACTACCGGATATGCTGGCTACCGAATCCGTACCGAAGAAGACTCGAAGGTTCATGACTCACCTATTCAAGGAAGGATATCTGAAGATCACGTCAAGACTTCGACTAGGGCACGACTATGTAACTTGTGGGGCAAGTAGGCCTCAGATATAAATAGCTAGCCATCCGCTTTGTTGTAATCATCGAAACTCTCATAGGCATAGCCATCTTGTACTCGCCATCTCGCCATCCCGACAAGATCGTAATACAAACAAGTAGCAACTGGACGTACGGCTTTTACTCGCTTCCCGGGGGCCCGAACCAGTATAAATCTTGTGTCTCCGTCGTGTTTGCTCTTTGCATCAAGCAAGTTCTGCTAAGAACTGAGTATCTGCTGGTAAAAAACACCGACAACTTTTTATATAAATTTAGTCGATTTTTTTTCGACTCTTGGAATAGAGATAATTACATTTTAGGACGGAGGAATACTTACTACAGGTCTTTGTCAAGCTTGACAGAGCTTCCATCTGCCATTTGGACCATGCTGCATGACTTTGACAGGTTTTAGTTACCTTGGCTTTTTAACCCAGCACCATCAGCACTCGGTAGTCCACCGGTTGCACATACCGAACCTCTGAATCTTTCAAACACCTGCAACAACTTGTATACACTAGTGGCCTACTAGTGGGTGACAATCTTCTTTAATCATACGGCACCAGTGTCATTTGAATAAAGTCATTTAAAAATTCTTTTGACGAAGCTGATAGAAAATAACATCTCTAACACCCCGTTTGGATGTAGATATTGAAGCCTGGAATTCGGAATTGGCATTGGGTGTCTTTAATACCTGCTCTTTGGATGTTCTTGGTATTGGAATTGGAAATCTCCTCCAATACCAAGAGGTATTAGGCCTGCAGCCGCACCCCATCCCTCAATTCAGACCCCTTCCCCTCCGTATTCATCGGCATTGGCACTCGTCTCATCTCCATCTTGCATCCCCTGCTGCACCGCGCCTCACGTCTCCCTCTCGCCACTCGACTCCGGCGGCGCCCCTTCCCCTTCGACTCCGGCAGCGCCCCACTCTCCATTGGCACGCCACGCCGCCCCCATCCCCCGTCCTTCCTCCACCAGTGAGGCGCACCAACCCCCGTCCTCCTCCGCCGGCCACCATCCTCCCTCCGCGGCCACCATCCTCCCTCTGCCGGTGAGCTGTGCCGCCCCCCTCCTCCCTCTGCCGGTGAGCCATGCAACTCCCATGCCTCGCGCCGCTGCAGTGCCCATTCGGCGAGGCGCGGGCGGCGTGGGGGAGCTCCGCCCAGGACCGACGATTCGTGGGTGGCACAAGAAAGCGCCACCGCCAGTGTGGTCCGGTGTGGAGAGGAGGAGAAGATGGTCAATTCTCAAATGCCATGGTATGAACATCCAATCACGAATCAGTATTCACTAGCTCCTTACGATTCCATCTAGCAATGTCATCTACATCCAAACAATGGTTTTGGTATTGTAAGCCAATACCAATACTACTCTGACTTAGTATTGAAGCCAATTCAATGCCAAGGCCTCCAATATCGACATCCAAACGGAGCCTAAATAGATTTACTAAGAAAATATATTCAAAGGTTAATCTAATGATACTTATTCTATATCATAAATGTTAGTTTTTTTATATAAATTTAGTCTAATATATATTTTTGAGTTTTTGAATAGAAATAATTGCATTGCATTCTTTTTCGGTACGAGGGAATATTTACTGCAGGTCATTGTCAAGCTTGACAGAACATCCATGATCCATCTGCCATTTGGACCCTGCTGCGTCACTTTGTCAGTGCGCCAGTTTTTTACCTAGGCCATGTTTAGTTTCGGCCGGATTCGGCGCCGTCGGAAACCCAGGGCACTGTAGTGGCACCGTAGTACTTCGTTTGTATTTGGTAATAATTGTCCAATCGTTGACTAATTAGGCTCAAAACATTCGTCTCGCAAAGTACAACCAAACTGTGCAATTAGTTTTTGATTTCGTCAATATTTAGTACTTCATGCATATACCGCAAGTTTGATGTGACGGAGAATCTTCTTTTTACATAGTGCCAAATTCAGGAACTTGGGGAACTAAACATGGCCCTAGTACCATGTCAATATTTTGTTTTTTTTCCTCGCTGGCCCAATGCTAAACATTCTCCGCCTTTGGACGCCAAATCTTTTTAACTTTGGGGTTACTACCACGTCTGGTTTAAAGTCAACAGATTGGGCACAAAAGATCAAACCAAAACGAATGTTAGGACTTTTGAGGCAAGTGATGGTGATGCAGTGTTTTGACTCTTTTTCATGTTACGGCCTTAGGGGAGAAGGATTTGCATCACCTAAGGTCCTAAAGACAGCAACTCGTAGCAATTCTTAATTAGTCTGCAAGGAAAAATGAGGCCATGTATCAGGTATGCAACCAGTATTTACAGATGAAGTCCACATACATACAAAAACAATACTGAACTCGTGGCAATTCTTCATTTGTCAGCAAGGAGAATGAGGCCACGTAACCAGTATTTGCAGATAAAGTCCACGTATGTACAAAAGAATACTCATTTGCTTGTACTTAAACCATGATGCTAGCACTGCACAGTAACATCAACATGTCAATGCACGCATGTGCATCGCTAAGAAATCCAAACAACAGTACAAATATGTATGATACTTTCAAAACTGTTTTGCGCTGGCACATTGCTTTGACACCTCGCTGGTAGAGCCACTTCTGCAAGCATTCAACGGTCTCGAAACATCTTCAGAGAACAGAATGCAAGATTCATCCAATTTTACTTTTTTTTCATATACGGAACTAGAAGCAACAACTTCTTTAACTGACAGGCATGCCAGATGGCGTCCCCATTTTTCTTGCATATTCACATCACCGTTTTAAGTGCAACAGATCGCCATTTTATCTGGGAGCGATTTGCATCAACGATGCCATGAACGCAATAAATGATACCAAATCTTAATTTGTGTGCTAGAAAATTGGGTACATGTAACTAGCGTTCACATAAGAAGTCCACATACAACAAAAACTACCGAATTGCAGGTCCGCCCAACATTAGGTTAAGATAACACAAGCATCAGTTAGATCACCAAGTACTGACCGCTGTACCATAAATGGAACCTTTTGTTCGAAGAAGTGTTCACACGGCACATGCGCTGACAGTTAACTGAATGGAAAGACTCAACTAAGATGCTAGGACAAAATACTTGCAAAAGACTGCATTACAATGATTTTCTATGAAACCTGAGACTTCAATTTTACTGAACATAAACTGCATTTACCGTAATTTTTGCGAAAGAATCGAGGCATGCAACTCGGTTCTCTTGCCAGGTTCTTCTAAACAGGTACAAAATATAAACATATAAATACACACGAATGATGTGGTAGTAAGGTGAGCAGATTCATTGTAGCGTGGCAATGTGCATCTCTAATAAGTAGTGAGGATGGAAAAATTACCGGTGATGTGTAAAAGAAGACAAGCTTTTCTGCGTCTTATTCACCACTGACTTCAACGGAAGACACGGCAGCAGCAGCCCTTGAAGTCCCTTTCCTCACTCCCATGTCCAGCCTAACATCTACGACACGTCTCCAATCCTCATCTGCAGCATACAAGTTTGACGCCAGAACGTAATTCCCTTCATGGTCAGGCTCCATGCGGATCACATGATCCATCACCCTCCTTGCTAAGCTGGCATTCCCATGGTCCCGACAAGCGCTGGCCAAGACACGCCATATTACAGGATCAGGCGTAACAGGCATGGCCAGGACGAACTCAAATGCCTCGTCCAACGACCCAGCTCTGCACAGCAGGTCCACCATGCTACCATAGTGCTCCATCCACGGCGTGATGTGGTACTCTTCGATCATGGACTTGAACAGTTGGTGCCCTTCGCTCACTAGCCTTGAGTGGCTACAGCCATTGATCACGCTCAAGAAGATAACCTCATCAGGCATGAACCCTTCTCTGAGCATCTGCGTGTACCGGACAAGGGCAGCCACACCATGCCCATTCATGGCCAGTGCTTGTATCATGGCTGTCCATGAAACCACCGTCTTCACAGCACCCATTGCGTCAAATATCTCGCACGACCTCTTCACCCTCCCCATCTTACCATGCATGTGTATGAGCGCATTTCGCGACACTGGTGTTCTGCAAGAACCCACTGTCGAGGGCACACTCCTCCACCCAGTCGCCTAAACCCGACGTGCAGTCCAGCTTTGTGCATGCCGATATGACGGCAAGCAGGGTGACCTCATCGACCTTGACACGAGCAATACTCATCTCCTCGAACACTCCCAACGCCTCGGCTGGGCGCCCATTCTCGCAGCAAGCATTGATCATGGACGTCCAAGAGACAGCACTCCTCATGCCAACCCCCATGCCGGCGAACACCATCCTCGCGTCCCTCAGCTGGCCGCACTTGCCGTACATGTTCACCAGCGCATTGAGCACGGGCATCCACTCGTTCCTATCCACTCGTTTCCTATCGCTCCTATCCACTTGCACTGCTGCCTTCGAGTCGTGCCCGCGTCGCAACACGAGGCCGAGCCCACCAAGGCACATGCGGCCTCGTCAAAGTCTAATGCCAGCGTCTTCTCCCGCATCAGCTTCCCCGGAGATGGCGCCAACCCTTCTGACGCCAAGCGCAGCCGTAGCGCCTCCGACAAGCCCCCCGCGCCCTCCTCTTCCTCCTCTAAGAAGAGCGCTGCGGCATAGGAGGAGAAGCGTAGGCCTGTTGTCGCCACTGTGGACAACTACTATGGCGGCGCGGACGAAGAAGAGAGTGAGGAAGAGGAGCATCACTTCAAGCGACGGCCGTCCTCGTCCTCCCGGCGCGAGCGCGAGCAGGGAGCGCACGGCCGCTGCTCCTGCTAGGCTCAGGCTCGCGGCCTCCTCTCGAACGCTGGCCTTGCTAGCATGTTTCGAGTGTTTCAAATGTTTCAGAGATACGTTACATATGTTGCAATAGTTGTATACGTATGTTGCAAGCTCTTATGCTCAATGTTTCATCTATTTTTTCCGACGGATGTTCCAAGTGTGTTTATCTGGATGTTGCGTTTGTTTACAAGGTTTTCAAGTGTTTCTCTGGTGTTTTTGCAAGTGTTTCAGCCGCATATTTCAAATGTTTTATTTGTTTTCAAACGTATATTGCAATTGTTGCATCTGTATGTTTCAAAATATCAAGTGTTGCATCTCTCTTCTCGTCTTTCAACCGTCTCGCCTCGTTGTTAGGCGCAGGAAGTGAGCACATGCAAAGACGGCTCCCACTGGCGCGGGCAGGACCTACGTCCACGCGTGGGCGTGGAAGTGAGCACATGCAAAGACGGCTCCCACTGGCGCGGGCAGGACCTACGTCCACGCGTGGGCGTCCGAACGGGGGCTAGCGTCCGGACATCCAGGCACTAGCCACACCCATCTTGGAAAGAAATTTCCCACATTTTATTTTCATTGCCCAGCCTAATGTAGGGGAAAATCTGAATGGAACACACAGAAAAAAGCCAGATGAGATTCAAATTTCCATGCATTAGAATTAGAACAAGGCTGGACTACAATACAAGAGGTTCTCTGGTCATGTCAGATATGCTTAAATACCCAAATATATATTTTACAACCTGGAGGGCATGCATAACACGTACAGCAGTGTGCTAACTCTTATTCTCTACAAGCTATGAAAAAATTACAGCATTCCTCTCTGCAGCTCAAGACCTCGGATTTCAGAGGCACAACTCGTTCTTCCTATTCTCTACTCTAGCGCCTGTCACAGTCGTCTTCTATCTACTTGAATCCCATAGCTACCACTGGGATTCTGATGAGGTGACCGCGGTCACCTTTCATGGCGATCTCACCGAAACTGTAGGTGCCGGTCACAGACCTCGCTGTCAGGGCCACAGTTACCTCTCTTGATGCTCCTGGGAGCACGGTCACCGCCGGAGGCGTCACCTCCAGGGCAACCTCTGGCGGCATTCTTGTCATGATAGTGTAAGTCTCGGTTTCGTCAGACACGCTTGTGACGGTCCGCTTCAATGTCACAGTGCCTCGAAGCTGAGAGATGGCGATTGAGGGGATGTTGAGGTCAAAAGGGCGTCGTCCCTTGGAGTTGGAGTTGCAAGCTGAACCGGCTATGTTTGATACTTCGCTCTGATTGACGTCAGGGATCGAGCACAAAAATGTGATGTAGTCTTCATGGGCTGCCAGCATGAATAAAGCAGAATTAGACAAGGGACGATACATTGCCATCTGAGTAAACTTTGACCAGCTTATCTCATGGAAAAATTGACAGTAATTGAACTTACTTGCATCTAGAACAAGACCAGGATCAAGGGCAGCTTTTGGGTTAACTGCGCCACTACCACAATCAAATGGTGTGGCCCGTGAAAGTGTCATCATTTCTGATGCAGTGTACTGCTGTGCTCTAAGAGGATGGCTCCCTTTGTCCAGTGTATTGGCCGTTGTCATCAGGGCAGATTTTATTGCTGAGGGGCTCCACTTTGGGTTCTTCTGTTTTATCAGTGCTGCAATGCCAGAAATATGCGGTGCAGCCATGCTAGTTCCAGAAACCATTGCAAATCCTTCACCTGAGAAATATTACCACAACAATTTTGAGTTTGTTCAAGCACAGAAAAATATCCTCACGAATCACTAATCCACAAGATATGAACAAGGACAACGAAAGCGCAATACTAAAACACTGATGATAATCATGGGTGCTTCCTTGAGGGAAAGAGATCTACAGACAAACGCTTACCAGCATAGTTTGATTCATCTGTTCCATTAGGCGCCCATGCAGCCCATATAAGATTCCCAGGAGCAAGTATGTCTGGTTTAAGAACATCAGCATCTTGAAAGCTAAAATCTTTTACATCAGGTCCTCGAGAAGAGAACAGCGCAACCTGGGGAGCTGAATTGTATAGTGTTGGTGCCAAACCATCTGCAATACCTGCTGTTGCTTTAAAGGCTGTAGCCCTTCCAGCCCAATCTCTTATGGTGGAAGAATTGTAGTAGTCTATAAGATCCTACAAAACCAAAGTTATGTCATCTCAGGAAAACAACATCAAAGCCTTTTAGTCCCAAGCAAGTTGGGGTAGGTTATAGAAGATATGAAAGGTAAGAGGCATTAGTAATAGTAATAATATGAAAAGGAGATTGATAGACTAGTTCATGGTTTCGACGTGAGGACTATCTAATTATAATTGCAGTAGCAGCAGCCATATAGAATTCATGCCACTATTCTAGTAGTTGCACCTCTTTGCATATTGTTTTTCCAGCCCAATTCATGTCATTTCGAGAATTAAATTGTATATTTGTTGATCTATTCATGAATATACAGTCTCATTTTCCCCATACTTCTATGTATGATGTTGTCTATGCATGGCAATCATATGCAAATATGCAATAAGGCTCTGCTAGAAGTATAATACCTCTGTTTTGCTGACATCTGTGATGAGAATTCCAGGGATGCTGACTGGTACAGGGTCAAATTTTGTTCCTGGGTAACTATTCTCCACAGCAACAACAAAGCCCGCTGCTCCGAGACTCCTGGCTGTCTGAGACACTTTCTTTATTGAAGCTGTCCCAGAAATGTAATTGAACGAATAGCCACACAAAAGAATTTTCCCCTGAACTTTCCTCTTATTCAATAGTTCTGGCCTCTGACAGTCTAATGCACTGTACTTGGTTGCAGATGAACCCAGTAAAGCATCAGCTGCAGAAATCAGGCTGAATGACATATTCCCATGTGTTGCAGCTGTATTGTGAGAAAATTGTCAATAACCACAGGTAGGAACATAGAACTTATTGATAGAATAGCAGGACCACTAAAATATCCCATATGACCTTAAAGTACTATCAGATGACAGTTAAATACTCACAAAGACTCTAGTAAAGCGTCTGAATGGAACTAGATAGGAAGAAAAACATAAAATGGTTGTCCAAGCTAAGCATCATCAAACTGAAATAAAAGTTAGGATGTAGTAACATGAAGTATAACCACATATTCACTCAATACAACTGAATCTTCTAGTTCAGTTTCAGTATATACTTTCATGTCATTTCTACCTCTGCTAGTATGCTCTATGTGCCAAAAACAATTGGTTACACTGTTGGGGGTGAAATAACAGAACTAGGGGCTCTACATAGAAGTTTGCTGTATTTCATTACTTCATTTTGCACAGTTCTACAATCCACAATTCAATATGCTGCACACAGTACTGACAAATAATTCATCATGATTTTGTTGATATGTATGTAGAAAAGGACTTACGAGATACTCCAAGCCCAGAAATAAGCTTTCCATTTCCTAGAGTTAAATGATTCTTGTATCTGCGGTCATCAACTCCAGCAGCAACAGTGGTTATCCATGGGCTGAAAGACACCAGTGTTTTTGGAAATGGTCCACCATTTCCTGCAGCTTGGGCAACAAATACCCCAGCTTTCACAGCAGAAAGAAGTGCAGCGTCAAAAGGGTTCAAAAAAGTACTCCGTGTAGCTGTTGGTGGGCTATTGGGTCCAACAGAAAGGTTGAGAATGTCAACACCATCATGAACAGCCTGCAAATAGACATTCATGCATTATACTCCCACACATTGGATGCTTAAAAAAAAACTAACCAGAAAATGAAGTTACATTACTTACATTCAACTTCATGTTGCTCTATGTGCAACGATTATTATACCCAAATCTAGCAGAAATAAAAGGTACTAATTCCCACCACTGTTTAGAAGAAAGGAAGGTTGGGGCTCTACTTGGAAATTGGAAGCTACATGAACTACAAAATTGATTTTCTTGTTAAAACAACCATGCCTTTTATGTTATTTTCTACCAGTAAACTTCCAACAAATATTGTCAAGTGCTTTTAGGCAATGTTATTATAGAAAGCTAGCCAACAGCACTCAGCAAACACATGCACAACACATGCATCTCTAACAGTTATGTAATAAATTCACTTTTTAACATATCATAGAATCCAAAGGTAAATCATTCACGTATCATACCTGATCAATAGCTGCCACAACATCAGCTACGTAACCACCAAAAAGCCTGTAAAGAACCTTGTAGACAGCTACCCTAACAAGCACAAACTAAAGAAGTAAGACATTGGCAAGTAAGCAAAAGCAAGGTG